TGCCTGCAACAGGATAGTTCTTCAAAGAGGATGTCTGGATCCTTTGTACATCAGTTATCTATAAAAGCCTTTGTGATGAAATGAAACTATAAATATAGAATAGACCCATCTAGAAGGAATGTAGTTCAGTCCTGTTACTTTAATCCCTGATGATGGAACATGGCTTTGAGTAACTTTTGTAAGAAATTCACCTACAAAAGTGTGTACCTGGTGCTGATTAGCAAGTATCATAAAGACTTCAAATACTTCAGAATCGCAGAAAGTTCCTCAGAACATCAACCTCCTACAGGGCTAATAACTCCACAGATATCCAAGTCCTTAACAGAAAGCTAACAGAGGTTTTAAGAAAGAGAGGTCTTGTGTGTATGTTTTCAAATGGATATTCTGAAGTCACTGTATAGCAGCTAGAGTTCAACTTCTACTGGAAGTGGCAATAGAAGCAGAACCATTGTGAACTTAATGATAAATGAAGATACTGATCTTGGTCCCTTGGAACATGAGGACTTTGGAGCAGATCCAACAGCAACTCTTCTTCCTTCAGGTAGCTTTCAGAGAGATCTCCTACAGTCCAGACAGGGATCCTATGTGGGTCCCTAAAACAGATTCCCTGTGTAATTCACCTATACTCTCTGTCTTTGAAAAATCCCTGCCCGCAACCCTCCCCTTGCTGTCTTGATGGTTTGGACTGCAATCCTATCAACTCTTTGGTCCTACGGAATAATATCCAGTTGAGAAATACTAGCCAGCATGAGAAATGGAAAAAGTTTCTCCCTTAATCCTTCTTAAGAGGGTGGAGAAGCAGGATAAGAATTACACTTATTTATGCTCTTAATTACACAAATACACTCATGAGGTTCTGACATATTCGGCCTCTCCCGCGCCCCATGTTTTAGTAAATATTAGATTTATTTGCCTAAAAGGTCTTCTCCTCTACACCCAAGCTGATTATTCAGGCTTGTAATATTGATATAATAGTTGAAGCAATTTGAATGAAAGAAGAGTTTTCTAATATTTAAAAGACATGTTGGATTTTTCGTGAAGTTTGATACTGGCACTGAATCAGGCAACCTTTCTCAGGTGGAGGGCAAGGTGTTGACTTTTTGTGGCATTAGTACACACTTTCTAAATTAAGTAAAGATATTTCAAAGAACAGCCAGTTCAAGTGGATAATAACAACATCACCCTGGAGAATTTCTATTTGCAGTAGAATGCTATACACATACCAACAGACACTTCAAAGCTTATTGGCTTATCTCCAACCTTCCTGTCAATCATTGTTGCTTCAAAAAATGCCCCAAAGAGGAGGAATTCCTCAAGTTGTTCTTCATGGATCTGATAAAACAGAGCAATAAATAAGAGTGAACCTATATTAAAAATGATTGAATTTGTAATAGCTTACATATGAACAGATACCAAGATATGCACAGAGAACTTTAGTACACTATTAGCTTCATATTTGTTATGGGACATCTGTTTACTATGAAACTGAACAAAACAAATGTGAAAGACATATCTCCACTATTTAGTTTCCTTTTTAAATTCCTTTAATTGAAACAAAAACGAATGGGAAACTAGCAGGTTGGCAAAAAAAAAAAATTACTGGCCTCAAAAATAACCTATATTTGCAACAATGCCTCTAGCCACCACTAACCCTTAGAAACCTTCTTAGAAATTAAAATAGTTGGTGGCCATAGCCATATGCAGATTCAGATATTTTGTGACTTGCCAAATTCACCATGGCAAACATTTTATAAAAGCGCTTGTAGCACGTTTTCAAAATTTCAAATATATCCACTGGCTGGAAAAGGTTGTAGACACTGCTCTATTGGATCAATCAATCAAATCCTTTATTACGGTCAATGACCAGATGTCTACTGGATCATCTAAAGTTCTAATAGCATCATATCATGCAACTTTATATATCATTACTTAGAAATTACCTCCATGGAGTTCAACGGAACTTATTCTTAGATAAGAACAGCAATCTAAATTTTCAAGTCGTTGTTATGATTGAGGCAGAATTTACAAATGCATTTCACTCGAAATATATAATGTAGCCAATGGCATAAGATAGTGAAAGTACTTCTTTTTCTACTAAAACAAATCCTCAGCAAATACCACTCTTGTGCCCTGATGATTATGCATTCTGCATTTTGTCTTACATGCAACTCCCTAAGATAAAAGATACCTTTATGGGAGGTGTATAAAAAGTGCTGCTAAAAGATTAACCACCAACATAAATTACTGATTTCTTTATTCATACCAAAGCACATATGGGATGAAATATGTGCAGAAGATAAATAACTTGTATGTTTAGGATTATATGACACCCTGTTTAGTTATATACCTCAACTCTAAGGAATAAACAATGCAGAGTCCAGAATTTAGAAGACTTTGGACAAGTTACCAAATTACTTCCATCAGTAGAACTGCGAGAAGTAATTTCCTCTCTCCCTGCAGCCCTCCCCCCTTCACATCTTCAAATCTTCTCTAAAAGGCAGAGGATTCTTAAGAACAAATCTGCAAACCTCAAGGACAGAAAACCCTGTCATGTGGATGGGACGTTGCATTCTACACATAGTGCTGCCAACCGCAAGAGGTTCCATATTCTTTTCATCAATGTCTCCCTCGCCCTCCAGTGAGATGTGACCACTGAGAAGCAGATGTGCTTAATTATGGTTCAGGGCTTATGCTGCATGTTTGCTAGCTTTGAAGGGGTCCACCTGCCATCATCTCTTTGGGGTTCCCTGCCAGAAGGGTCATTCTTTGTCTTCTTGTATTCTTCAGTATCACTGAATAGACTTTGATTGCTAACTTGGATTGTATGATTAAGTTATTTTCTTATGCTGCCTTGGAATAAAGCCTCAAATACTCATACGGTGTGGTCATTGTTTCTGAATATAGAGGAACCTGTAACCCAACCCTGCTAGGAACTGTAATTAGGTGAGGAAGCTGAAAAGTCTGATAAAAAACTCCCAGAGGACTACCCTTCCCAAGGCTCTTTCAGTAGCCTTTCAGTAGGAGCTGTGACATCTAAAATAAGATTGGCTCTCAGTCTTGGGATTCATCTAGTAAAGCAAATTCAGATTTTAATTATTTACCTCAGGGGGCACATCAAAGGGTTCCACTTCCACATCTGTTGAATTTGTTTTATCTGAAGGGGCAGGTGACTTGCCATCTTCTGCCCCTTTGTCTTTTCCAGTCCCTTTTGAACTTTTGGAATCTTTGTCCTTGGAAGACAGTTTCACATCCTTGATGATCTTTGAGAACTTTGATTCATGGGCTGAACCAGAGAGGATTTCCACTGCAAGCTCAATTAGAAGACGTCCCCTAAAAGAGACACCTTCCCCATAACCTTCGTTGAGTTCCTGATGGTCGTCCATCAAGGTGTGGTTTCTGGGTGAACCATAGAGATTGATCCAAGCAGGTCCAAAAGTAGGCAAGAAACCTGAAAAAAGGCACGCGTTCCACAAAGAGAAGCATAATAAAACATGAGAAAAACAAAGGCCCCCAACACAAGCAGGCACGTTTAGTGGCATGCCAATATACCTTTGAACCGGCACAGTAGCTTGCCACTTGGCTTACAGATTGATCTGCTTGTTTGCTAGTAAATCTACACAAGTAAATTAAAGTCTTGACCAGAAATGACATGGTGACTTTCATATAATCATAAACGAATAATGTCTGTGCTTTATTTGTGCCTTAGGTGTCCAGCAATCCAGATTAGGAAAGCAAGAGAGCTTGATATCCATCAGAAGAAGTTCCAGCAAAGGGAATCTGCTTGGAAACCAAGTTCTTGGATGGCTTTCCCTTACCCTAATATTCTAGATATGTGTAGCAGACTAAAATAACAGGAAATGCACTGTGCATATGTTTAGATCCTATCATTTCTTCCTCAGTGTGGGGAATAAAATTTCAAGGGCTACCCACCTCTTCTAGAAGAGTATGGGTATGGGTGGATTAAGCAATTCAATCTATCTTGTTAGAAGAAATAATATGTCCTTTAACTACTATTTATGCCACATGGCAAGAGAAGAATCACTTCATAAAGAGCTGTAGGACATCAAAGGCAAGTTGTAGATGGCACTCATTTTAGAACCCCAGTTCTTGAAATCTCTTGCTTCATTGTGAAATATAGCCCTCTTTCCACCTCTCTCCTTTTTCTGATAGACTCTCCTCACATCCTTTCCATTCACTTTCTTAGATGAAAATACAAATAAAAGAGGTAGATATTCTGAAATTCCCAAATAATCACACCCGACTACAGCTAGGTGTATCACTGCAAATCCAGATGAAGATGATGACAAAAATCAAGATATGGATGGGTTCTGGATAGATAGGAATCAGCCACTTCCCTATATTGGGGTTATATCAGAACTGGAGGGATAAAGCAGTTTCTTCAAACTTTCTTCAGATCTGAAGGGAGGGGTGTAAGTGTGATGGAATGGAATTATGAAGGCCAGGCTCAGGGAGAAAAACATTTTCTTTCATCTCCTGAGGAGCATGGGAAATATAAGAGGATGAGACTGGCACCTCCCTGAGGAATTCACAATCTTGTGGCCTTTTTTTCTTTTTTTTGGGTGTTTTTTTTTTTGGAATTTTTTTTTTTGGGTTTGGGTGTTTTTAAAATATTATGCGGAATTATTTATTGTATATTT